AGCTTTTCTAAAGGAGTGTATCATCCCTTTCCTGGAGGACCTGAGTATAAGGTAGTGTGCATAATACTATTTTATAGAATATATAATAAAGTCACAGTAAACTGTGATAGCCACAGTTTAAACTTTGGTTTACAAAATCATTTTAATTACAAGATAGTTTAAAAGTCAAAGTCTTCAAAATCTTTGCTTCATAGGATTCTAAAGACTCAATCCCACTTAGGTGGAATTACTTGAAAGAGTCAGAAAATAATACCTTGCCATTGCAATTAAATTAGGAAGGATTTGCTAATAGAAATAAATATGCCATCATGGGGTCCTCAGAAAGAAATAAGACTTATGTGTTGGGCACTTCAACTTCCCTCATTTAGTCCTAGCATCGATGATTGGTTGAGGAAGAAAGAGATTTTATACAAAGGTTTTATCAACACCTTCAACAACAGCTAATGGACCCTTTAATTTCAGCTGGCCCTTGCTCAAAGCTCCTTGGATTTAAACAAGCAACCAGGGACAACCCAAGAAAGCATTTTACACCTTGCCTGTACTGTATAGTTCATAAAAAGTTTCAAATGTAAATATGTGAGTTTTCTCATATCGTCATAGAAACCCTTTAATATACTATTCTCATTTTTCAGAAAATCAAAGTTTGGATTGTTGCCAAGCTCATCTAACTTAATTGAGTATTAATTGATTTATACAGTAGGCAATTTTTTTTTCTCCTAATATCATGTCTATAGTAAAAATGTAAAACATATAATCATGGGAATAATCGGAATGTGATAACAGTTATAGTAATAATACTAATATGCCTGGAACAATTACTTAATTAAAAGGAAATAAAGACATTGCAGAGTCAAAGAAATTTGCACCCAAAAAGATAGCCTTTTTCTCACTAGCCAATTGAACTCAAGAATGAATTTATAGCTAAGTATATTATATTTAAGATAATTTTAATAATCTAAGACACTGATTTTTTTTAAGTACACTATAGAGTTGTGTATGTCACACCCTAGTCATTAAGGGAAAATGAAAGTGTGACCTTTCACAATCTGTGGGATATAGCATGCCTACCTGCAGTTTCATGGAGATCTGGTGGCCTAGTGGTAAGGAGATGTGCTACCAACCTGAAGGCATGCGGTTCGAATCCACCAGCTACTCCATAGGGCAAATATTGGCAGTCTCTTCCCATGCAATTTACTGCCTCTGAAAACCCACTAGAGGGTCAGCTTTTGGTTGGTTCTGACTCAATGGTTCTGACTCAACTGTTGCTCCTTTCTCTGGTGTTTAATGGGAAATTGGTATCCCACTTTCAGTGTGGGGTATCACCTTGGGGGCTTGTATAACTACCCGATTGAAAAAGTGGACCTCACCTCATCAGCGTAGAAACTAGAACTCCAGGAAATAGTTTAGCATTGTTGTTGTGTACCGTAGATTCAGAACCAAACTCTAGTGGACCCTCCGACAGGTTTTTCGAGGTAGAAATCACACAGGAGGAGACTGCCCATCCTTCTCCTAGAGAGCAGCTGGTGGCCTCGAACTGCATGCCTTCAGGATTGCAGCACAGCTTCTTCTTGCCAGTAGGCCACCAGTGTCAAAATCCTTTCTGCCACAATTCCCCCCCCCATTAAAAATACCTCCCATCACTGAACAATTATTCAAAGCAAAGTAGTTAAGTCTTGGAAAGGTTAAGGAAGGCATCTTGTGAAAGTAAAAACCAAAATTTAAGCCATGACTCATCTTAATGTGATCATTTATAGTTTCTGTTCAGTGGTTGTTATGTGACGTTGAACCAGAAATGACTCACAACAGTCCCTCCTGCTAGTTTTCAGAGGCTGTAAATCACATGGGACAAGATTGTCCATCTTTTTTCCACAGAGCAGCTGATGACTTGAACTTCCTGCCTTTGAGTTAGTAGTGGGGCTTCTTAGGCCAGAGCTTCCTTGTGCAGTGGTAGCACATAGAAATCTTTGTGACACTAAGATAACAGCCATAATGTGGTTTTCCCAGTGATACAGCTTAATGGCTTATTTAATTCTTTCTTTAATTAATTTAGTCAACAACTATTTCATGAGCTGTAACCTTACGCCAAGCATGGTAAACAGAAAATCCCTGATCTTGTGGAGTTTACAAACCAGTGAGAGGAGATAAACACCTAACAAACAATAGACAAAATACAGCCCCATCATTGATAAAAGCTTTAAGGGACAGTAAATAAAAAAGGGGAAAGGGAAAGCAAAGTGCTTGCTCTTTTCTATAGACAAATGTAGGGAAAGATTAATTCGAGCACAGATTTTTAGGGAATTGAGGGTGAGAACTCTGATGATATTTATGGAAGATTGTTCATTTAGGAAGACAATGAAACATGCTTGATACGCTTAAGAAATACTAAAGTGACCAGTGTAACTGGAAAAGGTGGTAGAGCGAGGTCAGGGGTAGCTGGAGTCTATACGATTTTAGACCTGGTAGATCTTTGCAATGATTTTTGTCCTTACCATGAATTAGTGGGAAACTACTGAAGAGTTATAAGCAGAGCAACACCGTGATCCAACTTAAAAAAAAAATGTTCTATCTCGAAGAGATTATAGGGTCAGACAATGATATAATCAGAGAAATTATCAAATACCCATGTGAGGCCACATTCTCATTGCATAACACTATAGAGTGTTATCCTTAGCAGAAACTCTGGGTGATGGAAATCAAGCTATTGGGGCGGGGGGGGGGGGAAGAAAATTTAAGAGGATTTAGGATTTAGGATTCAAGCTCAGATACAATGATATTAAAGGCCAAGTTCTTAACGCCCATCAAGGATACAAGTTAAAATTGTATGTTTATCATTTCTAAAGAGCAAAATCTTATCAGTTAAGTGAACTATGTGAGTCTTCAGTGATTTAACCAATTAGACTTATTATTTTCCTTGGCACAGCTAATTTGGTGCCATCTTTTCTATGACCAGATTTCTTTTATAAATAATCACCAAATTTCATATTTTATTATAATCTATTACAGAATTCATTTCTATTACACTAATCAATTTTTTAAGGAGTTTCACAGAGTAAAGGTCCTTTGGCTGCTGAAAGGCATTTTCAAATATCTATTTTCTCCACTAAACTGTTGTACAGATTCACAAATGGAGCAACTCATGGTTCATTTATTTGAAGTGTCATCATGTTCCCTCCAAGGAACATGCCACAGTAATATCCTCCCAGATTGAATTCAATCTGTGTATGTGTGCATGAGTGAGACACTCAAGAACGTTGGTATCATAGAAGAAGCAGTAAACAATTCACATCTAAAAAGAAGACAGACTTCAATTGGAAAGCAGAAATACTTGCCGTGTTGTGTCTCCAGTGCTTTCATTAGTGCTGAGTAATTCAGAGTGTTTGAAGTAGGTGTGAGTCCTCTGCTTCTCAAGAGCACTCAAGAACACTCCCTTATATTGCTATTAAGTGATTAGCTCTGTTCACTCTTACTTTCCTTACAAGTCACATGGTCAAAATGTCTTTTAAGAAAGTAAAACCAGAATAGCAGCGGAAGTTCTACTCCAGAGCCATTGAAAGGCATGTCTGTCAACTGCAGAGAAATGAGACCTTGGTGACATTAGGCTCCGCTGAACTGACAACTCCTTCTTTGTGATTTACAAACCTCTGAAGCCCACTGGAGGACCAGCTCTTAGCTGTTTCTGACCTGACAGCCCAGAACAGCAGAATGTAACCAGTAACCAGTGAGCTCTGGTGGTGTAGTCTATGGAGATGCCTTCCTAACCCAAAAGCCATCTCTCTGAGCTGGTTCCAAGACACCAATGGCTCCAAGGATAGAAAAATAGACATCCTCCTTTCATGCCTCAGAAATAAGGTGGAGGATCATCTAAGAGTAGGTTTCAACTTGATGGCAATGAGTTGAGGTCAGGGTTGCTATATTATGGTGATCCCATGTGTTTCATAGAGAAACAGTGCCCCCAAGTTTCTAATGTCTAATTTTAAAATACAGTTGGCCTGGATTTTCTTATCAAAAGTTAGCAGTTTAAATCCACCTGTTGTTCTTAAGGAGAAATATGAGGCAGTCTGTTTTCATAAAGGTCTGCACCTTTGAAACCTTATGAGAAATTCAACTATGTAAAAGAAGGTCACTGAGCTAGAATAGACTTCGCAGCAGTGGGTTGGGTCTGGCTTAAGCGGAGCTTGGATTCCCAAAGTGTTGTAATTTTATTTTAAAAATGGCAGTTTAATTCTACCCACTGCTAACTTTTGAGTGAGCATATCCTGAGTAGACTGAGTGCACTTAGGCCACTGTATAGCACCATAAGTCCTTAAGCTCAGCTTAAATCTCTGCAATTAGTACACCTAAGAGTTGACTTTGGTATCAGAATAAATTTATTCTGCACATTTTAGAAGGACAAAATAGTTTTCAAAGTCTCCTAAAACTCTGGTTATAATTTTTGTCCTATTATAACTGTAGGAAAGAAAAAGATTAGGATAAAAAAAGAGCTAAAATGATGGTGCCTATTTCTGCTGTTTTTTTTTTTAAAAAAATGAACCAAATAACATTTGAAATATCTATTATGGATCAGGACTGGGAAATAATAAAAAAGATACAATGATCTTACTATTTTCATGCTGACCAGAAGAAAAATTAAAGAAATTGACATCGTTTTCCACCTTTATTTACTAAAGGAGGAAAAGAAAAACTATAGAATGTGCTCAGTACATTATGTAAAATGATGTTAAGCAATACAAGGAGAACCAAGAACACTCTCCCTTTTTATATCCTCTTAAACATACAATTAGTTCAGCACACTGTTAGGTGAAATTCATCTGATGCAGTGGAGAGAGTTTATAGGTGTGATGACCAGATTTCAAATGCACTTCTAGCAGAGATTCACCGCACCACTCAGGTAGTGCTTGGTGTCATTGAAGGTTTCCACAACCTTGTTAATTTGAGAAGAGGAGAAAAAAAATCTCTCTGTGAGCTTTTTCTGATTTACTCCCATCTGCCTTTCTTTAAAGGTACAGTTGAAAAGTGAAGAATCCAAAACTTTTGCTATGAAGATTCTCAAGAAGCGCCACATTGTGGATACCAGACAGCAGGAGCATATCCGCTCGGAGAAGCAGATCATGCAGGGTGCTCATTCTGACTTCATCGTCAGGTAGAGACTCGGCCCCCAGCACTGGGGGACCCCAAAGCCCAGTGCCAGTCAACCACAAAGTCCTTTGTCATGTGTGTTTACTGCTACACACTTAATGAACACAAAGACCTTTATTTTTTAAATTTCACCTTAAAATTTTTTCAAAAGCCTAATGCTTTCATTCTATCCACATACTCATTTCTCCCTCTCCCTGAGAGAATTGTAATTATCTGAAAAAGAATGTGGTTTTTCTCAAAGGAGGTGTGAGAATGCATAACATTTTCTTTTTATCTTCTCCATCACTCCAAATGACACAAGGACCACTGGTACTTAAAAAATAAAACATCAAAAATCAAGCTATTTAATGTTTAGTTACACAAAGATATCTTAAAAGATTTTGGGGGGGAAATGTCAGGCAATCATGCCACCCTTTCATTTCAAGAGCACAATGAGAGGATAATATACAGTTTTTATAAACAGGAGGTGTTTTCTAACTACATTGCCAGTAGCATCTCTGGAAAATAAGCTGAATTAGTCATCAACTCCCAATTTTCATACCTACCTGTATTTATAAAATGCAATCTACTTTATATCCCTTTATTCATGTTTCTGAGGATGAAATATTCTTGTTCAACACCAGTCAACCTGGAACTGGAGCAATTCCATGGCACTTTTTTATGTTTATAATAATTTGAATTAATCCAGTCCAGGAAGAGACAAAAAAAACTATGGTGGCGGCAAGTTGTTCTGAATCCTCCCCCCCCCCGGTCAATGACCTTAGATCTCTTTCTTTCTGATAAAGTTTCAAGCTTGGTAAATCAAGAATAATTGTGTTATCTTGGAACTCAAAACATTTATACTTCCAAAGACAATAATATCTATAACCTTTATTTTCTTGTTTGTGACTCACAGACTATACAGAACATTCAAGGATAGCAAATATTTGTACATGTTAATGGAAGCTTGCCTAGGTGGAGAACTCTGGACCATTCTCAGGGATAGGTAAGAAATTAAAAAAAAAAAAGTCTGTAACATCTGTAAAAAAATGTTGGCTATGATGGTTTGAAAGAAACATTAAATATTTCAAAGCAGAAAATTTGATATTTTCATATACGTATATTTAAAAATACAGGAACATGGAATTGAATCTATTCTCTCGATATATAATTAGCCAATGTAGAAAACACAGTCTGCTACCAATGAGTTTAGATTGCCTGAAAAATAGTACTTGGCAAAGTATATACAGAGGTCTTTCTAGTGTTTTAGTCTTGTATGGTTATCAGATTAAATTGCTGTTATCATTAGGTCAATTATAATCCTTAACAACCCTCTGAACAATAGTTCTAAATCCTGCCCTGCCCTGTCCCATCCACATCATCTCTACTGCTATTGTTGTTATGTGCCGTTGGGTCATTTGCGACTCAACAGCCCTAAAGCCTGCTCTATCCTGTGCCAGTCGCACTGCCTCTGACACACCCATCCCGATTACCCCAGTCACTGAATCAATCCATCTCATAGAGGGTCTTCCCCTCTTGCGCTGTCCCTCCACCCTCCCAAGCATGATGTCCCTCTCCAAGGACCTGTCCCTCCTGGCAACATGCCCAAAGTATGTCAGACGAAGCCCCAGAATCCTTGCCTCCAAGGAGTAGCTTGGTTTAACCCTCTCCAGGATGAAACTGTTTATTTCCATGGTACATTCAATATTCTTCTCCAGCACCACAGCTCAAAAACATCAATTCTCCTTCTATCCTCCTTGGTCATTGTCCAACTCTCTGATGCATAACAAGTGATTGCAAAGACCGTGGCCTGTATCAGGCGCACCTTAGTATCCAGAGAAACACCGTTGCTCTTGAGTACTTTAGCGAGGTCATTAACAGCAGACTTTCCCATCGCAATATGTTTTTTTATTTCCTGACTGCTGGTGCCAAGAGTGTTGACCGTACTTAACCTAATTTTTACGTCACTGTGTCCATCATTCTTGCTGGGGGTCTTCCCCTCCACCATTCCAAGCCAGATGTCCTTTTCCAAGGACTGGCCTCTCCTGACATGCCCTACGTATTCACGATCCTTGCTTCTGAGGAGCACCATTTGCACCCTGTCCAAGATGTATTTGTTTGTTCTTTTGGCAATCCTTAGTACATTCAGTACTGTTATCCAACATCACAACTCAAAGACATAGATTCTTTTTCTATCATCCTTATTCATTGTCCAGCTTTTACGATACATAGCAAGTAATTGAGAAGACCATAGTTGGAAAAGACACACCATAGTCTTTAAACTGTCTTTGTTGCTCTTCAGTACTTTAGAGGATCCTTGACAACAGAGACATCTGCAATTCAACCCATTGCTTTAGCATGAAATGGATTATTACTATTTTTGAAATATGTTAGTTATAATCTACTAAATTAATATCAATATAATCATTCTGTTTTCCAAAGATGAGCAGTCTATCTTTCCTAACACTGAAAATTTTTTCCCTAAAGTAACCTTTCTCACTACATGTACATACTCGTCAGCTTCAAAATTATTGAGTTTCCAACCATCATTCTCAATCCCCAAGCTACTCTTACAAAAATGAACCACTTTTAGTGGTATTTTATGTAAATAGTCTGATTTTAATTTACCTCTTTTTGCCCTTAAAGCAAGTAATTTTTATCTAGATAGTGTGTGCTTGTTTTCATTAGTGGCATTCATTATTTCTTAATTTCTTAATTTTGTACCTTATAGCTAGGTAACTAGAAAACAGTATTTTAAAAACTGTTCCTCTAAAATGTCACAGACCATTGTGTATATTTATAAAACAACCACTTGGATCACAATTCTATTCTCTTATAAAAATGAGCATTCCAAATTCGTTTTTTTGTCATTTAAATACTCATCTGTACACATCTCTACTTTATATACTTGCATCAGCCTGTCCCTTTATTGAGTAACATTTCACAAATTAGGTATAAATGGTCTTGATATTCCCAGAGAGTCAGTTCATTTTTGACAATGTGTTTACTTTGTCCAGAAATTAAACAAGTAGCTCTTTATATTCTATTGGTTTAAATTTTTATTCCTAACATTGGTATTGCTGTATAGCATGCCCTTTCGAATCTGTTGGTCCCATTGCCTTGCGTATGTGGATTGAGTGGCTTTCTTTTTTACCATATTTTATCCTATTACATAGCGTATTGTTTGTTTTATTTATTCAAGATAATGAAGCCTACAAGAGAATATTTCCTGTTTCAACTTCTGTTAGCTAATATTTGGTTATAAATTATGGTCAGGTACTATGATAGAGACTGAGAGTATAATGATAAAAATGTGGTCCTATTCCCTGGAAATGTAACTGCCTGTTAAACTAAATATACAATAAGTCTTCAAAAGCACAACAATATAAGGCAGAATCCTGTCAGTTAACGGAAACTCAAATGTTTTCACTAAAAGAGTGATAATACAGTGGTAATTCTATACCTTGTCACGGATGAACAAGTCTCAGGAAAACAAGACAGGTCCCCTCTAATTCCACAGGTTTTACTATATTATGATTTGTGAGTTAATGCCTGGCCTATAACAGAATGTGGTTCTAGTACATATTGAAGGGAACACTGGTGGCCTAGTGAACGGAACATTCATTCAACGTGTACTTAATATCGTTTCCTACTTTGTTTTGTCTTGTCTTTTAAATTGAACCGGAGATTTACATGTGGAAGTAAACTTAGAAATATAATAAACCAAATTGAAAGGGAACTGGCTGTATCCCCATAAATTTTATACACTTCATTAATCAGAACAAGATGACAGAAATAATAATAATGATGATAAGTCAATCTAACATCTCCTCCTGAGGCATGATATGTTTGCATTAATTTTCAATTTCTGTTTTTAAGGAAATAGCCCCATTTCTTAATTTACTCATATTTCTCCTGTTTCATTTGAATTTACATTTTATATTCATAAATGCTATAAAGGTCTTCAGACAGATGTATTTTGGTATTGCTGGGGCAGCAAAAGAGTTTCTACTAGTAAAAGTTTAAAACCCGATACAGAATGCAAATCCAAGCCAACCAAAACTCTTTCCTGGAAAAAATGGATTGAGGGACACTATTTGCTCATTTGTACCTCCAATGAGGACGTTCCTCTTTCATTCATCTCTACTATTCACCAGAGAAAAATGGGCAAGCATCATTTATAGCCCCAGAAACCCAAAGAGGGATCAGCAGTGAAGCAGTTCCAACTCAACAGCAGTGTTTTGAGTTTTTGTTCCAATTTGAGGTGAGACTCCTTAAAGACTGTTGAAAAGAAAGGCAAATGCCCAGAGGAGAGTGATTCTATTAGTTATTAATGGTGTGTTTGCTGAAACTAAGGAAGACCTGAGACACTTGCTTCAGAAGCTCAAGGACTGTAGTCTTTAATATGTATTGAAGCTCAACATTAAGATGACAAAGATTCTCCCCACTGGATCAATCGCCAACACCGTGATAGATTGAGAAGAGACTGAGGTTAAGTTACAGCTTGCTCAGTTCCACAATCAACATTCTTAACACCAGCTGTCAGGAAATCAAAAGACTAATTGCATTAGGTAAATCTGTTGTCAGGGACCTTTCAGAGTGCTGAGAAGCAACGATGTCAGAGACCGAGGTGCGCCTGATCCAGGCCATGGTCTTTGCAATTACTTGCTATGCATCAGAAAGCTGGACAATAACTAAGGATGACAGAAGAATCAGAGATGCCTTTGAGTTGTGATGCTGGAGATGAGTCTTGAAAATACCATGGACCACCAAAAAAACAAATAGGTCTGTCTTGGAGAGGGTGAAACCAAGTTTCTTGTTGGAGGCTAGGATTATGAAGGTACATCTCACATACTTTGGGCATGTGGCCAGGTGGGACTAACCCTTGGAGAAGGATATCATGCTCAAAAGTGTGGAGGGACATTGCAGGAGAGGAAGACCTCAGATGAGATGTACTGATACAGTGAATTGGGAAATGGGAGAAGGTGTGTCACAATCAGTGAGACTGTCTCAGGACAGAGAGCAGGCTTAAGAGCTGTTGTATGTAGGGTTGCTATGGGTAACAGGTGACTTGACAGCACATAAAAAGAATGATGTGTATTAAATTATTAGTGTGAACAAACCTCATTGTTAAATTTATTTTTCCACTTGTGCATGAGGAAGAAAGCAAGCTACTCAGAAAACATAAAGGATGTTCTTTTGGGTTGATTTCAAAAATGGTTTGTGTGAGACCTCATTCTTTACTCACCTAGTTACATCTCTGAGTCTGGGAGATTTACCACAGGAAGTCACTGGTGGCAGCCCAGCCATCTCCCTGCTCTCATCTCATTCCTGAGAAGACCATTTCTTACATTTAACTTTTTTTCTATCAACACAGAGTCCTTTATTTGTTGTAAAGAAGAATTACAGTGTGAGCTAAAAACAAATTGGATTTGAAGACTATTAAATATTTTCATAACTTTGAGACATGAAGTGAATATAACACTGATATATTTGTTGGTATTTCATCTTTCTTAAAATTAGCCATCATGCTTGTATCTTGTAGTGGATGGCTTCTTGTCCTCCACAAATTTTGTTACATTATTTGCAATAGTCATTATACCTGTTGCCAGTGAGTCAATTCCAACTCCTACTAGCTGCTTAGTAAAGAGAACCCTTGGGGTTCCCAGAGGCTATAAATCTTTATAGAAGAAGACTGTCAGATCTTTTCCCTGTGGAATAGCTGACACATTTAAGACGTTAGCATTATGGTTAGCAGCTGAGGACTGAACAACTATGCCAACAGAACTCTTTGATTGCAATCTCTAACATGCTCACTCATTGGTAGACAGTAGGAATGGACTCATAGCTGACTCCACTGGGTTTCTGAGGTAGTAAATCACATGAGGAAGAGATTTTCCTCAGTGGATTTGAACTACCAGAGTTATTAGCCATAGTATAGCAGCAAAAACTCTCTACAGACTGCCACCCGAGCTCCATTTGAAATAGATTGGCATCATGTCTATT